CGCCGGCGAGAGCTGGACCCACACCGGACTGGACGCCAGCTGGCCGGATCTCGCGGATCGTCACTCATCCGTCCGACCCCGATACCGCGTGGGTTGCCGCCCTCGGCCACCTCTACGGCCACAGAGGAGCGGGGCGTCTTCCGGACGACCGACGGCGGGGAAAGCTGGGAGCGGGTGCTGTTCGTGGACGAGAACACCGGCGCCTCGGAGGTCGTCATCAGCCCGGCGAACCCGAGCCTGCTGTTCGCGGGGATGTGGCAGATGCGGATGTGGACCTGGGGCCGGGAGAGCGGCGGGCCGGGCAGCGGGATCTTCCGCAGCGGATAGCGGCGATACCTGGGAGCGGCTCGAAGGGAACGGACTTCCCGAACGTCCCTGGGGCAAGGTCGCGCTCTCCCTCACCGCCGACGACCCGCGCCGCATTTACGCGCTGATCGAAACCAGCTCGAACGAGGAGTTCGCTCCCCTTGACGACCAGGACGGCGTGCTCTGGCGGTCGGACGACGGCGGGAACAACTGGCAGCTCGCGAGCCGGACCACACGCTGATGCAGCGGCCCCACTACTACACCCGGTGTGGTGGCCGCCCCCGACGACGCCGACGAGGCGCATTTCCTCGCCACCCGCCACACCACGACCACCGACGGCGGACTCACGACGTTCCTGAACAACTCGGGCGGCGACCACCACGACATGTGATCGCCCCGGACCAGCCGGACCGGATGATCGTGGGGCACGACGGCGGGGTGAGCATCTCCACGAACCGCGGCGAGACCTGGCAACCGCCCCCGACTGCCGATTGCCCAATGTACCACGTGTCCACGGACAACCGGATCCCTTACCAGGTCATGGGGAACCGTCAGGACGGTCCCTCTTCCCGCGGGCCGTCCAACAGCCTGACCGGTGGCGGCATCCCCATCGGCGCCTGGGCGCCGGTGGGAGGCTGCGAGTCCGGTTTCGCGGTCCCGGATCCCAGCGATCCGGGCGTCATCTGGTCGGGCTGCTTCGAGGGGATCCTCGAACGCTACGAGGACCGCACCGGACAGGCCCGTAACGTAAGCATCTGGCCCGACAACCCGGAGGGATGGGCGGCCGGCGAGCTTCGGGACCGTTTCCAGTGGACCTTCCCGATCCAGATCTCTCCCCACGATTCCGATCGGGTGTACGCCGGCAGCCAGCGGGTGCACGTCACCACCGACGGTGGGCAGAGCTGGGAAGCGATCAGCCCGGACCTGACGACCGACGACCCCGACCTTCAACGAAAGACCGGCGGCCTGACGTTCGACGACGTGAGCCCCACCTACGCCGCGGTGCTCTTCTCACTGGCCGAGTCGTCCCATACCGCCGGCGTCCTCTGGGCGGGGAGCAACGACGGCAGGATCCACGTTTCCCGGAATAGCGGGGAATCGTGGGACGACGTCTCGGCGAACCTCCCCGGGCTCCCGCCGCTCGGGACCTTCAGCAGCATCGAGCCCTCCCGCCACGCGGCGGGCGCCGCCTACGTGACGGTGGATCTGCACCAGATCGGCGACACGAACACCTACGCCTACAAGACCGAGAACTTCGGTGCGAGTTGGCGGCGGCTGGGAGAGAACACCCCACAGCACACCCACAGCTACGCGCACACCCTGCGTGAGGACCCGGTGCGTCCCGGTCTCCTGTTCCTCGGGACCGAGAACGCCGTGTACGTGTCCCTGGACGACGGCGAGACCTTCGAGTCCCTGCAGTCCAACCTTCCCCACGCTCCGGTGCACTGGCTCACGACCCAGGAGCGGTTCTCGGACCTGGTGGCGGCCACCTACGGGCGGGGCTTCTGGATTCTGGACGACATTACGCCCATCCGGCAGTTGACCTCGGCGGTCGAAGCTGCCCCGGCCCATCTTTCGAGCCGCGGGAGGCGTGGCGTTTTCGGATGCGCCCGAGCCCCATGAGCCAGCCCGAGGATCCCGGCGCCGGCGAGAACCCGCCCTACGGAGCGACGATCCACTATCGGCTCGCGGAGGATCAGGCAGACGAGGTGTCCGTCGAGATCGTGGACTCCACGGGAGAAACGGTGCGCACTCTCGAAGGCGAGAGTTCCGCGGGACTCCATCGGGTGGTCTGGAACCTGCGCAACGAACCCACACAGCGGCCCCGCCTCCGGACCCCGCCCCTCGGAAGCGCCCACCACGTGCTGCCGGCCCGGGGCTTTCGGCTGCTGACCGAGTCGCGCCCGGTGTCGACCCTGCTCCCTCCCGGCACGTACACCGTGAGGCTCCGGATGGGTGACGAATCCTTCGAGGAGCCCCTGGCGGTCCGGGCGGACCCGGAAGCTCCGGAAGGGGGAGCTGAGATCCGCGAGCAGGCCGGGACCCTCCTGCGGATCCAGGAGATGATCGGCGCGGTCGGGACGATGATCGAAGAGATCGAGTGGCTGCGGAAGCAGACCGCCGACCGGCGCGCCCTGGGGCTTGCCCTCACCGCGAACGTGGAGGTCGCGGCCGGGGAATACGACAGCGCGCTGATGGAACTGGAAGCCCGCTTTTTCGAACTGCGGCTAACCGGCGAAAACGCCGGGCAGGACACCCTCCGCTGGCCCAGGAGGCTCCACGCCAAGCTGAGCAGTCTCCACGGCTACATCGGCGGGAGCGATCACCAGCCTACCGATCAGCACCTCGAAGTGCTCGCCCTCTACGAGCAGGAACTCACCGACACCCGGGAGATGCTCGACCAGCTCATCGGGCGACGAGCTCGCCGCCTTCAACGAGACACCTTTCCGGGGCGGGTCTGGCGCCGGTCTTGCCCACGGGTAGCGGGGAGTCCCGCGGTAGGGCCGTGCGCGCGCGCTGCCGCACTCACGCTGGGCAAAGGAATCCCGTCGCCCTCGCCCTTGTCCGCATTCGTCGCAGGCTGGTACGGCCCTGGCGCAGCGCGCATGCCGACAGAACGCTCCGCAGTCCCCGGAGCGGTCCGGGCAAGCTGACATCAGGGCTCTGTGAGTTGTAGCGCCTCCGGCCGCGATGCGATGTACCGCTGCGCACCGCGACTGATCCTGCTGCGGCGCAATGCCGGCTGCGCTACCTGTGCCCTCCTGCTCCTACTCCGCGTCAGTTTTTTCCTCCAGGAGGGCCGCGGGCGATGAATGTGAAGTCGTGCTCCGTCACGATGCCCACCAGCCGGCCGTCCTCCACTACGGGAAGCGACCCCACACTCTTTTCGTTCATGAGACGGATCGCGTCCATCGACGGAGTCGAGGGGGGAATGCTGATCGGGTCCTTCTTCATTACCTCGCGCACCGAGAGGAACTCGTCCTCATCGAGACCGCTTTCGGCGACCAGCTTGATGATCGTCCGGTAGGAGACGATGCCCACCAGCTTCTCGTTCTCTTCCACCGGGACATGCCGGATCCGGCCCCAATCCATGAGGATGGCCGCGCGGCGAACGGATTCGTCGGGGTGGACGGTGAGAATGTCCCGGGTCATGAACTGGTCAACGCGAAGGTAGTGATGCTTCCACCCGCCCGAGTCACCGAGCGTTGGGGGTTCCCAGCGGGCAACCGGGATCCCGGCTCCCTGCTGCCGGCGGGCGGCGCCGGTAATCGCACTCAGCCGCTCCGAGAGGGACGCATGGCTGCGCAGCGACTCATAGCCGTCGAGCATCCAGCGCGCCCCCGAACGGCCGGTTCGGACCCTCTCCTCGACGATGCCGATGTAGTGATCGATATCGGAGGAGTCCACCTGTTTCCGGGCGAGCCCGTCGCGCGCCCGGGGAGGAGGTCCTCGAGCAGCAGATCGCGGACCGGCCAGTGTTTCCCGTCGAGCCAGGTCAGTTCCGCCTTGAGGCCCAGCCGACTGGCCGCGAGGAAGTTCTCTCCCACGTCGGCGAAGGGGATGGCCTCCTGCGGCTCGACGCCATCACCGGAGAGCGCGCTCATCAGCCCGAGCCACAGCGCCATGTTGGCCACTTCGTCCGGAATGGTCGGCCCGGAGGGCAGGTAGCGGCTTTCGATACGGAGGTGGGGTTTGCCGTCGGTCACTCCGTAGCAGGGACGATTCCAGCGCCAGACGGTGCCGTTGTGGAGTGTCAGCGCGGAAAGGCGCGGCGGATCATCGTCATCCGCGTCGTCCTCCCCGGCATCGAGCAGCACCGAGTGTTGCGTGATGTTCTCCCGCAGGATCTCGAGCACGCCGCCGCTTACCCAGTCGCGGCCGAACGCGCCGCGCGCCGCCCGCCGGCGTTCCGTGGCGCGGGCGCCGCGGGTATCCAGACTCTGCTGGAAGAGCCCGATCCGGGTCTCCCGCCAGAGCCGGCGTCCGAAGAGCAGGGGCGAATTGGGGGAGCAGGCGAGGATCGGCGCGGTAACGAGCTGCGCCAGGTTGTAGAGCCGGGAGAATTCCGCCGCGCCGACCTGCAAGTGGATCTGGAAGCTGGCGTTGCAACCCTCGGGCATGACGTTGTCGTGGGTCGAGTGGATCTCGTCGGCCCCCTCCAGATGGAGGTGGTACGGCTCATACCCGCGGAGCCGGCTCAGAGCCTCGTTGAGCGCGTGGTAACGCGCCAGCGGCGTCATGTTGTCGAGCGTCATGTCCGAAAGCCGCAGCGTCGGCAGGATGCCGGTCAGACACACATCCACCCCTACGCGGCGCGCCGCTTCGGCTGCGGCGCTCATGACCTCTTCGAGGCGTTTTTCCGTCCGCGACAGGATGTCTCCGGACATCAGCATCGGTTCCAGGTTCGCCTCGAGGTTGAAGCGGGCGATCTCGGTGGTGAATGAGGGGTCGTCCAGCTCCTTCAGAACCTCCATCGCCATCGGCGCGGGACGGTTCCCGTCCCCGATCAGGAACATCTCCTGCTCGACGCCGACCCGATAGACCCCCTCCTCGATTCTTCCCTCCTGGATCATGTCGCTCAGCTTCCGCAGATCGGCGAACAGCCTCTTCTCGAATCGGCGCAGTTCCTCCCCCGAAACCGCGCGCGCGTCGAGCCGACCCATAACGGTCGGGATTTTACGGGTGCGCGCCGATCAGGCCGCGCTCGACACGATGCGCCCGTCGAACAGGTGGATGCTCCGGGCGGCGCGGTCGGCGTAGCGCGGATCGTGAGTGACCATGCAGATGGTCGCTCCCCCCTGATGGAGCGAGTCGAGCATGTCCATGACCTCGGTGCCGTTCTGCGAGTCCAGATTCCCTGTCGGTTCGTCGGCGAGAAGGATTGAGGGTTCTCCCACGACCGCCCGGGCCACCGCAACCCGCTGCTGCTGGCCTCCTGACAACTGGGACGGGAAGTGCTTCCGGCGGTGGGACATCCCCACCCGCTCCAGGGCCTCGAGGGTCCGCCGTTTTCGCTCGGCCGCGGAGTTCCCCGGTACACGAGCGGCAACTCCACATTCTCGAACACGGTGAGGTCACCGATCAGGTTGAACGCCTGGAAGATGAACCCGACTTCACGGTTGCGAATCCGCGCCCGTTCGGTCAGTCCGAGATTCGCCACCGAGCGACCATTCAAAAGGTATTCCCCGGCGTTCGGCGTGTCCAACAGGCCCAGTATCGAAAGCAGCGTGGATTTGCCGCACCCCGAAGGGCCTGAGATCGCCACGTAGTCGCCGGCGTCGAAGCTGAGACTCACGTCGGCAAGGGCGTGAGTTTCGACCTCATCGGTATAAAAGATCTTGCTGATTCCGGTCAGTCGGATCACGGGGTCGGGCACGGGTTCTCCTTTCGGCGCCGAGTTGGACATCCCATTCTCGGCCGTTTTCCGGTCGGTGGGTTGAAATTCGAGGGCGGTCATCGTAGACGGATACGGTCCTGTCCCTCCCAGGCAGAGGTGTCGGAGAGGATCACGATGTCGCCCTCCGCCAGCCCCTCGCGGATCTCTACGGTGTTGACCGAAGCCTTGCCGAGGAGCACCCGTACCCGCACCGCATGGTCCCCGCCGGCAGCCAGCCGGAACAGGTCCACCACTTCCCCCTCCTGCCCGAATGCGGGACGTCCCAGGTGCAGCACATCGTCGAGGCTCTCAATCTCAACGAGACCATCTACCGAGAGTTCGCTACGGGCTCCGCGCGGCAAGTCATCGGTCAACTGCACATCCACGATCACGGCGCCGTCGCGGACAGTGGGCTCCACTCGGGTTACGCGACCGGCGACGATTCCGTTCCGGGTGTCCACCCGCGCCGTTTGCCCGATTTCGATGTCCTTCGCCTGGACTTCGGCGATTCTCAGTTCCGCCTTCAGGCGATCGGGTTCGGCGACCCGAGCGAGGTTGTCGCCCTCCGATACCTGCTGGCCGGCCTCCGCAGACACCTCCTGAAGGACGCCCGCAATTCCGGCGCGAACCTCAAGCCGTGAGACGAGTTCGCGTTTCAGCTCGAAAACGGCGCGGAGTCGCGCGACGCCCGCCTCTTCGGCCGCGAGCTCCGCAGCCGCCACCGCTTCGGCGAGCCGAAGTCGTTCGACTTCGTGCCGAGCTCGGGTCCCGAGTTCCGCGGCGGCGCCTTGACTGTCCTCCAGAGTGATCCGGCCGATGATCCCTTCCGCGTAGATCTCGGCATCCGCCTCCGCGTCGAGGGCGGCCTGGCGGGCTTCCGCCTCGACCGAGGCAAGCAGTGATCGCTGATTCAACACCTGACGGCGCAACTGAACTCGCCGGTCGTCCAGATTTGCCTCGGCGGCCGCGAGTTCCAGCTCCGCCCCCGTCAATTCTTGAGCCAGGCTCTGATTCTCCAGCGTCAGAATCACCGTATCGGACTCCACCCGGACCCCGGGGAGCGCATGCACGCGAGCGACCCTCCCGGAGCTTCCCGCCGCGATCCGCCGAACCTCGATTGGCACCAGCGTGCCCGGTCCCCGCACGGTCAGCAACATCTCTCCGCGACGTACGGTGTCAATGAACACCGTTTCCCGATCCACGCTCGGGGCTGCCGGCTGCAGACGGAGGGCGAACAGCGCGAGCGCCACGAACCCGGCACCCGCGAGCGCGCCGAAGACAAGGCGCCGCCGGCGCCGATTCTCGGCGACTCCCTCTCTGGCTACATCCATCAGGTATTGGCGCGCCTTCCGGAAGGAACTAACGCCCGCGGGGCGACGGAGTTCCCCGGGCGCCGCCGGTCGGACGGATCAGCGGAGCTCCCCCGAGCAACGACCGCCCCGGCAGGGTCGGATCCGCCGGTAGCCCCAGGAGATCCAGTGCGGTGGGAACCACATCCAGGGCACTGGCCCGTGGCCATTCCGACTGCCGGGGAATCCTCGGCCCCCAGCCAGCCAGCACCGCGAGCATGTCGCGCCGGGTGGGAGCGAAGCCGTGGTTCCCGGCCGCGCGGGCCGGCATCACGACCTCTTCCGCGAACCGGGCGGAGGGGAGGAACCCCGGCCGCAACACGGGGAAGAGATCCCCGGTCGTTGGACCGCCGGGCTGCACCCTTCCATCGGTGCTCGGCACGAGGAAACCGGTCACGACAGGTTCTCCGTCGCTGCGAATCCCGAGGAGCGCGGCCCGAACCGCAGCGGCCACCTCCGGTTCCTGATCCGGCGACACGGTCCCCTGCGGGCGTGAAGCCCGGTTGATCGCCACGCTGCCGTCCGCCGTCGTCAGCATCATCGCCTTCGTGCGCGAAAGATCCACCGTCCGGTCGGGGCCGAAGGCCAGGAGCCCGGCCCGTTCCAGCGCCACATTGACGTGCAGGAGCCGATCGGTACCGGACATCCCGTGATCGCTCACCACCAAGAGGTGGGATCCCGACGCTTCGGCCAGCGCAAGCATTCGTCCGAGGACGCGGTCCACCTCGCCGAACGCTCCGGCGAGAACCGGCCGGAGCGCCTGGTCCAGCGAAGGATCATGCGTAGCGAGGCGATCGTCGAGCCTCCCGTAGAGCAGATGGCCGATCTCGTCGGCGATCGGCAAATAGAGAGCGATGAGGTTCCAGTCCGGCACCGACGCGGCGGCATCCAGGTGGACGAGCGCGGAATCCGCAATCGCGCCGGCTATTTCGAGAAGGCGCGACTCGGCGATCCCTTCGCCACCCTCCGTCCTCGGTCTGCCCAGCCGGCCCGAGGCGTACTCGGGGGCGCCGACCGTCCGCGGCCACTCAGGTGAGCCGAGCCGCGCTCGCCACGCCTCCTCCGGATGGATCGCCACTTCGCTCGCTCCGCCGCGGAAAACGACGTACTGCCCGGGAGATCCGGAGACCGGGGGCGCCGCGGCGAAAGCTCGCACCTGGAACTCCACGCGGCGGCCTGCGGAGTCGGCGCTGATGGGCCCGGAAAAGCCGGCGTCGGGCCCTATCCCGACCCGCGCGAGCCAGATCGGCGCTCCTGCTTCCGGATCCCGCTCCCCCGGCCCCTGCATCACCCCGAACGTGTCCCAGCCGCTCGCCGGAGTCAGGGGATCATCGAGGAAGGCTCCGAGGAAACGCGACTCCCCCACCTCGAACCGGAAGAACCCGGGTCTGCCACCCACCCGCGCGGACTCCTGTTCTTCGGCGAGAGGGACCGGAGGCTCCGTGAGGAAAGGATTGCGCACCTCATTGAGGGTCGCTGGAGGCAGCCGAACGTCCCCATAGCCGGTGAGGATGAAGAGGTGTCCGCGTTCTCGCGGCGCAGGCGGCCCAATGCAGCAATCGAGTGGGTAGGTGTGGGTCGTATGCAGCGCGACGGCGCGACGGGGCCGGCGCGAGCCACCCGCGTCCAGAGCGGATCGGTACGGAGCAAGGCGGCGGAGAAACCCGTCGCGCGTGTCCAGCAGGGAATGGGAAGCCGCCGGCAACGCGCCAGCACCGAGTTCCGGTGATTCCGTTTTCGCGCCCGGGGAGCCCGGTCCAGATCATGGCGAAACGACGCCGCGGTCTTCGAGGGGAAGGCGGTCACCATGCCGTCCGAAAAGGCTCCCTCCTCGCGAAGCCGGGAGAAGTTCGGGAGTGCTCCGTCCCGGAGAAACTCCTGAACAAGCTCGTAACCGCCGCCATCCACCGCAAGGACCAGGAGGCGGTCTTCCCCGGCGGACGCTCCGCGGCCAAACGCGACCACGGAGAGAGCCGCAGCGAACACGGCCACCGGGAATCGGCTGCCTGAAGCGCTCACGGTGCGAACCCTAGCCCGACCAACCGGTGGCGAAACCCAGGCGGCCCAGTTCTCCCGGTGGGGGCTCCTCCCTCACGCGCCTGGTCAGCCGGGCGCCTCCCCCCACCGGGAGAACTGGCGGCCTCGGCACTCCTCCGGGTTCCACCACCGGCTGCTCCCTGCCCCTGCGCAAGACCGCACGGCCGGGTTCTCGCGGAGGAGACTCAATCGGCGAATTCCAGTTCTTCCCGTGGGACCTCGGTCCGCAAGCGACTCCGCCTACCGGCTGCTTGACCGCGTGCTACGATCAAATCCGTGCGCCAGGAGGTCTTCACTTCTTCCGCCCTGACCCGGGGAATTCGAGTGGATGTGGAAGCGCGTTTCGCCGACCGGCGCCCCGAGCCGGACCCGGCGTGGCTGTTTCGGTACGACATCGCCATCACCAACGAGTCAGAGGAATTGGTGCAACTCCTCAGTCGTCACTGGGTCATCGAGCACGGCGAAGGACAGCTCGAAGAGGTGCGCGGTCCCGGAGTGGTCGGGGCTCGCCCCTATCTCGTCCCGGGCGAGTCCTTTCACTACTCCTCATGGTGTCCACTGCGCGCGCCCTTCGGCTCGATGCGAGGCTCCTACCTGATGGAGATCCCCGGCGGGAACCGCTTCAAGGTCGAGATCGCGCAGTTCACGTTGAGTGAACCGGTCACGCTGCACTGACCAAGAGCCGGGGAGTAGCCCCCCGACGACCCAGCCGACGACCCAGCCGACGACCCAGCCGATGACCCTGAATCGCACCTCGCGACGTTCGTTCCGGGGAAACTCCGCCGCATGAGTCGTCGCACGGGTCGCAGCCCGAGCCAGGGCAAGAGGCGGCGTCCGTCGATGGCCGACCGAGCGGACCGCTATCTGCTCTACCAGAATTCGGTTCAGGACGCGCCGGCCGACGCCGCGTTCCTGGATGACGAATTTCACCGCCGGCGGGCTCGCCGGGCGCTCTCTTTCCGCGAGGATTTTTGCGGCACCGCCGCCCTCTCCTGCGAATTTGTCGCGCGGCATCCCGAAAGCCGGGCAATCGGGGTGGATCTCGATCCGGACCCGCTCGCCTGGGGCCGCGAAAACAACATCGCGAAGCTGAGCCGCTCGGAACAAGGGCGGATCGACCTGGTCGAAAGCGACGTCCTGGATGTCACCGAGCCCCGGGTGGATCTGATCGCCGCGATGAACTTCAGCTACTGGATCTTCGAGACGCGGGACCTCCTGCGGGACTACTTCGAGCGCGTCCGAAGAGCTCTCAACTCCGACGGACTCTTCTTTATCGACGCCTACGGTGGTTCGGATTGCCACGAAGAAAAGGAGTACGCACGCGAAGAGGACGGATTCGACTTCATCTGGGACCAAGTGGCCTTCGATCCCATCAGCGGACACATGCGGTGCGCGATCCATTACGAGTTTCCGGATGGCAGCCGGATGAGAAATGCCTTCCGCTACCAGTGGCGTTTCTGGTCCCTTCCCGAGCTGCGTGAACTCCTGGCCGAGGCGGGGTTCTCCAAAACCGTCGTGCTCTGGGAAGGGGCCGACGAAAACGGTGACGGCAACGGGGAGTTCGACGAGGTCACCGAAGGCTCCGCCGACCAAACCTGGATTGCATACCTGGTAAGCGAACCCTGAACGCCGTTCAGAGGGCGGCGGCTACGGGCCGGGAACGGCTCCCGGAAAGCCAAGGCGGTGGCGTTCCCATCCAGCGTCCCGCTACGCAGGCGTTCGGCGCGACTCCAGAACGAGGCGTCCGACCGATTCCGACCTCCTGAAGAGTGGGCCGCTCCCACCATACGGCGGCATGCCCCCGGTTCCGGGACGGAGTGGGCCGCGCCTGCTGCACACCACAACGAAGGCGCTCCAAGCCGCCGCTCGGCCATCCGCCGAGCGCGGTCGGGTAGGCTGCCGGGTGCCGAATGCAGAGCGCACCAGAGGCCGGGTCGGCAAAGCCCCTTCCGCTTTCCCTGCTAAAGGAACACTTCGGCCACCAGAGCTTCCGACCGCTGCAGGAACCGGCGATCACCAGCGTCCTGGCCGGGCGGGACACGGTGGTGCTGATGCCCACTGGCGGGGGCAAATCGCTTTGCTACCAACTTCCGGCACTCGCCTCGACGGCGTCACCCTGGTCATCTCGCCCCTGATCGCCCCTGATGAAGGACCCAGGTGATTCGCTCCGGGCGCGGGGGATCGCCGCCGCTGCCTCAACAGTTCGCTCACCACCCTGAAGAGGCGCGGCTCGTCCGGAGGAGACGCAGCCGGCAAGGTAAGCTGCTCTACGTAGCGCCGGAGCGTCTCGCCTCGCGGGCTTCGGGCGGTTCCTCGAACGGATCCGGTGGGGCTGGTGGCGGTGGACGAGGCCCACTGCATCTCCCATGGGGTCATGAGTTCCGGCCCGACTACCGGACTGGGGGCGCTGCGCGACCGCTTCCCGGCGGCCCCCTTCCTGGCGCTCACCGCGACCCGCCACCGAGCGGGTCCGCCGGAAATCGCCTCGAACCAGATGGAGGATCCCGAGTTCTTCGTGGGAGCTTCATCGTCCCAACCTCAACTACGCGAACCCGGGTTGCGACCACAAACGGCGCTCCTTCGACCTTCTCGTCGGACTCCTCTCCTGCAGGGAACACGAGGGAGTCCGCCATCGTGTACTGCCTCTCGCGAGGGAGACGGAATCGGTGGCCGAGCGGCGTCCGCGCGCTGGGTTTCCCGCCTCTGCCTCACCACGCCGGACTCGACCACGAGGAGGCGCGGTCGGCGCAGGACCGGTTCGCCAGCAGGAGGCGTTGATCGTGGCGGCCACGATCGCGTCGGAATGGGATGGAACATGCCCGACCTGCGCCTCGTTTGCGCATCTACGACCACCTCCCGAGTCGTGGAAGGGCTACTACCAGGAGACCGGCGCGCCGTACGCGACGCCTTTCGCAGCGAATGCGTGTCCTGTCTTCAGCGTCGCCGACCGGGCCGCCCAGCAGCGTTTCATCCGCGAGATCGAAGATCCGTCGCCGACCGCCAGCGCGCGCAGGAAGGCTCGCCCAGATGATCGCCTACTGCGAACTCACCTGACCACTCCTGCCGGCGACGCTACCTGCTCGACTACTTCTCGGACGCCTCGCTTGAGGAATTGGAGAACTGCGGGGGCTGCGACAACTGCCTGGAACCCGGAACCGGCGGGGAGATCGAGGAGTACGACGCCACCGAGATCACCCAGAAGATCCTCTCCGGGGTGGTCCGCACCGGACAGCGTTCGGCTGGCCCACGTCGTGGCGGTGCTGCGCGGCTCGCGGGCGAAGCGGGTGCTGGAACTCGGGCACGCCGGCTGAGCGTCCACGGCATCGCCCGCGATCGTCGGGAGGAGGAGTTGCGGGACACCGCGGACGAACTCGTCGCCCGCAACCTGCTCCGCCGCGCCGGCGACAGCGGGTTCCCGACCATGTCCCTGACCCCCACGGGGTGGGCGTTTCTCCGCAACCGGGAGTCCCTCACCCTGACCCGTCCGCAGGCGGCGCCCCCGGACGAAGAGTCCCGAGACTCCGCCGCGGCCCACCGCGAAGCGGCCCACCGCGAAGCGCCCGCGCCCGACCCGGCTCTTTTCGAGAAGCTGCGGGCGCTGCGCCTCGATATCGCACGGGAGGAAGGGCTTCCGGCCTTCAGGTGTTCTGACGCCACCCTCCACGAAATGGCGCCCGCAGGCCCCTCCTCGCGACGGAGTTCGCGCCTGCACTGAGTCGGCGGCCCGGCGAATGATCGAGAAGTACTGGCGCCCGCTTTATCTCCCGCCGTGCGGGACTCCCCTCCGGAGGCCCGGCCTCGCAGCACCGATCGGTCCCCGCCGGAGGGGTCACTCCCGGCGCCGGGAAAAGACCGCCGCCTTCCTGGTGATCGGCAACGAAATCCTCTCCGGGAAGTGACCGACACGAACACCGCCTCCTCGCCTGCCTGCTTCGGAAAAGGGGGTGGCTCTGCGGCGGGTGTTGACGATTCCGACGAACCGGAGGTCATCGCGACGCGAGGAGACGGCCGCTCACTGCGAGGCTCACGAGCTCGTGTTCACTTTCCGGAGGGTGTAGGCGCCACGCACGACGACGTCACCATGGAGGCGTCGCCCGCGCGCGTCGGACCGGGGTGATCCATCACCCCCGCTTTCCTCGACTGGTTGAGGCAGCGCGGCTGCGACACCACGCACCGCGATCTCGCCCCGCGTTCCGGAGGATGCGAGTTCCGCGAAGGACAAAGCGGCGCCTGGCCGTGGTCGTCATGCACAACGTCTGGATCCTCCCGGGCCCTGCCACCCGTCTTCGAAAAGAAGCTCGGGATCCTCGCCGAGTGTCTTCCCGAAGGCCCCCGGTACTTCGCCGACGAGAAGACTGGTTCCGCGCCCCGAAGAGGAGCTGTATCCCCCTTCTGACCGCTGGTTGCGCCTATCCGACAGTCGAGATCGGCTCGTACCCCCGGTTCCGAGGGGACTCGCATCACGCTGGACGGGGATGACGGGGAAGCCGTCGCGGACGCCGCCAGAGCCCTCCGTGAGGCGCTTGCGGAGTTGTAGCGCCAAGCCGACCCCATCCGGCGACGCGCCGGGAAGGGAGGGCCGACAGCCCGGAAGGCGCGCTGCCAGGGAACGCCGGTGTTCACACCTGGTGTTCACACCGGCACTGCGGCCCGGAGGGCCGCGAAACCGCGTACCGTCGATTGTGAAGAAGCGCGGGGACGGCTTGGAACGCCGGCCTCCGGCCGGCATCGCGCGGGAGCGCGAAACCAGCGCCGATGACACTGCGCCATGCCAATGTGAGTGCCGCACCCTCTCCCAGCACCGGATACCGCTATCGCTCACCGCTCCTCCTACCCCGGGGCCGCGCCTTGTTCATGCCAGGCGGGGTGTACGGGAGGACCCGATCATGGGGTTTCTGCCGGTGGGGGCTGGCACCGCCCGCCGGAGGCGGGCGAAACGGAAACTCGAGATGACCATAGGAATGGACCATGGTAAGATTGATCCATGCAGCAGATACAGATTTCGAAGTTCAAGGCCACTTGCCTGGCCGTGCTGGATCGGGTTGCGCAAACCCGGGAACCGGTGCTGGTCACGCGCCGCGGCAAACCGATCGCCAGGATCGTCCCTCCAGCCCCGAACCCCGCCGGGAGCTGGCTCGGCTCCATGAAAGGCTCGGTCACGATCCACGGCGACATCGTTGCGCCGGTATCCGAGCCGTCGACTGGGAAGCCCTCCGTTAGGTGCCGTTCCTTATGGACACCACGTCTGGCTTTGGGGCATCAAAGAGCCGGAGCGGCTGCCGACGTCCGTCAGAACGGGAACTCGAGGATGGCGTCCGAACGCCACGGCTGTCGCCGATCAGCTCTTGGAAGTCGTGCTCCTCGCCGAACGGGGTCGCATCACACTGTCCCCCAACCCCCGACCGGCTCCGGGAGGCGGCGCGAACCGTCCGAGAGGTGCCTCTCACTGGAGGTCGCGCCGCCAGCGGGCAGCTTCGCCTGGGACCATGAGACCGGCGGACCGCTTCATCGTCGCGACGGCCAAGGTGTTCGGCCTGCGTCTCGTCACGGCGGACACCCGACTTCTCCGCTGTCGGGACGTGGAGAGTTTGTGGGACGACTGACGCTGGATCAGCGGGAAACGTGCGAGCTCCGCGAGGTCAGCCGTCCGGAATGGCGCCGCCGGTCCGGGACCT